GGAAGTATACCGTCGTTTTTATCAAATTTCATCTATTTCAAAAGTCTAGAGACTTAAACCATTTTTTTCAACAAAAAAAAAAAAAGGAAAAAAGTTTAAGAAAAATAAATTATAGTAATACATATAAATTATAATAAAAAGTAAAAATACGTACTTTTTTTGGTAAACATAAAAAAATTAGTTCGCTTAAAAGTTATAGCCTCTCATACTATAAAGTGTTATTATCTTTTACTTCTTAAAAATCAAATTAAAAAAGTAAAAAATATATTTTTTCGAATATTAAGATGAGATGAGGTCCCACAATTCATCTCAGTGTAGTTACACATATGTGCCACGATGATATACATGTACAATAAATCTAAGCCGATTTTATAAAAGGCATTAAAAAATATCTATTTTGCCGAATGAAAAATATGAAATCGGCACAAAGTCGGCATCAGCAGGAAATAGGACAAGGGTCCTTTGCTCCGCGCACACACAGGCTCACTCACACAAGCTTACACTCAAGTTGATTGGAAAAGTGCCCGCCCCTGGCTGCAAAAGGATGAAGAAGCCCATAAATGATGTGGCCCCGAAATGAACACACATCCCTCAGAGATTACGAGCGTGGAGTGGGGGGTGGGGGGTGGTGGTTTCAGAGCATATGATGGGGAAAAACGAATCAAAGGCTAACTGACCGCCCACGCATGATTAAAAACTTGAATTTGGGCCCTGCCAGCAGGAGCGGTTGGTTGACAGGGGAAACCGGGCGGTGCACCTTTCAAGATGAGTAAATGAGCATTGAAGCGTTCAAGATTATCAATATGCATGAGTGGGGCGACCAAATTGTAGTTAAGTTCAAGTGGACAGCCAAGCTGGGACCCGTGGGGAAAGCCGAGAATGTGGGGTTGCTGGGACGTGGCTTCAGTGTGATTAAAGGGGGATTAGGGGGAGGGCTTCTTACGGGAATGTGCGAATGTAAATGAGCCGTTTATCCACTCACTTAAGCAAAATGCTAGGCGCGGAGCTAGGTTCGATTGCAGAGCACTTATTTCTGCACTGCAGCTTTGAGAACACTTGTGTGTGAAAAGAATTCGATCTTAAGGGGGTCTGAAGAGCAACTAAGCTGCTCGGCTGCGATAACTCAAGTGGGGTACCAAATTGTGCTACACCTGTCCATTATCCCATCACTAGTTGTCTCCGGAACTTTACCCACACATTTGGCAGCACCAAATTTGATAACCACAGAAACACGCAAAAAGCATTTCAACTTTTACCTAGGCAGCACGGTAATTCAGCAAATAGGTAAACTGCTTACCAAAAACATATATATTCAACTACACATAGCACTCTGTGCCATTTACATAAAAAACTTTTGCTTGTCGAATCTTCCCGACACCAAAACTTTTTCAAGTTTTCGTTGATGTAGGTAATGCGTATGGCAATGGAAATTATTAAAGAGCTCAAGTTACAAGGTACCGCCTAGATTGCCAAAAAGATTTTCCTAGAATGGATTTAATTATTCATTGCAATTGACCTGCCAAGCCAAATCCGATTATAGGATTAGTTGAATTGCTTTCAAAAGATGCAAAATATAAAATGTTTAAATTTATTTTTTGTTGCAGCAATTAAAAGCATTAAAAGTGTAATTAGAGCATCACATTTCGAATTTTACAATCCCTAATTGCGAGCAGGCATAGAAAAATGAGACAATTCTATTTATGCCCAAAGTTTTTTTTTCCAGTAACCCGTAATTAATTTTAATTATCAATTAAATGTAGTTATACTTCTGTCTTTAATGGCTTATAAAAACAGTTCAGTAGTGATTATTAAGCATGTTTTCTAAACAGCTAAAATCACTTTACTTCACTTTAATCTACCCAAAAAAATTCAAATTTGTCTAAAGTTTTTAAAAGTATATATGTACGTAAAGTAATCAAAATTTAATATGACAAATAACACTATTTTATCTAAAAGCCTTCATATTTAAAATACATACTTTATAAGGAAATACTAGTTACATGATCAAAATAAAACAACAAACTCATAGTATAAATGTTTATTTAATTGTTAGCAACCATTTTGTTAGCAACCACCAGTAAAAATTTTTCAAATTCTAGTTCAATTGATTGAGATATGTTAATAAATGTGTTCGCTAGCAATCTCCATCCACAGAGCTCACATCTGCCCACAGTTTTTGAGAGTTTGCAAAGTGTAGATCCAACTCCTGCACCTCTATGATAAATTAATTTAGCACAGTATTGGTCACTGCGAGCAATTAGGTGCATTGTACTGCATTTCAAATGTATTCGCCTTCCAAAGGCAATAATTCGATAGAAACCAACTATATCGGCTCCGTTCTACTCAGTTTTCACCTCAAGAGTAGCCAAGTGTGAGAAGGTTTTTCGGTCGAGTGCCGTGCTCGTAAAAGAAAGCCGCACCGAAGAGCACAGCAGGAAGTGTTGTAATTCGCACTTTACCAGACTCACCAATGCCACACACACAAAAATGTGGCTATCATGTCGTATACTTGATTTTGAGGAGGGTGGTGCTGAAGAGGCAGAAAGGGTGGCAATATCTACGCACATTTTGCTGAGCTTGCTTGGTTTTAATTGTGGCTGGTGTTGTTGTTGCCGGCCACATAACCGAAAAATATATGCAGGATACGAAACGGTTTATGTGCCATTATAGAGCAGATATCCCACTCTCTAACCGCTGGGTGTGGGAGATGGATTTTATGAGCCTGGACGAGCTCTCGAATGCTAGTTATGTAATCTGCCCCAAATATTCGTCTGCAATTAAAAACATTTTCAAGTCGTTTATTGTCGCTCCGGAGAGGAGTTGAACGCAAGGAGGGAAGGGACTCAACAGAAGGCTCGTAAAACCGGCTTTTTGGCAATGTCTAACCAATTTTGTGGATTTTGGCTTATGCATTTATTGGAATTTTTATGGCCCACTTTTATGGCCTCTGCAGGAATGGCATAAAAGGCGGTGGGGAAAAATTGGTTTATGAATATTAAAAACAATTTTGGGTGAAAATAAGTATAGTTAATTCTGAGATTAGTCCTGGATTTCGAAGTCCAATTAATTGGAGTGTAATACAAAGGGCTTTTGTATCCTGTGGCTTGTTTCTGGAGCAACCAGATTTTACTGACCAAGCAAAAATCGATTAAGTTTAAAATACTTTGCCTACGTAAACTAAACGAATTGGTAAATGGCCGCAGGGAAGGGATTGATGTTAGAACCTCCTACTGAAACCTCGTCAATCGCAATAGTTTCAAATTAATTAATAAAATTTTTGTTTCAAGTGGGGCCAGCAAGCAAACAAACAACAAACTGCAAATAAAGGCCGAAACCCGCTCATGCCTCCCGGTTGAAACAAGTCTTGGCTCGGACCGGAATGTTGGTCAAGAAGTTGCGTGTGCCAAGGCACGTGTGTGGTTCAAAGCTTCAGACCCCTGCTTTTCCCAAAATTTTCTCTAACATTCAACCACCTCGCAAACTGTTTGGAAGCCAAACCAAACAACAAATACTTCAATAAACGAAATTAAATATTTGTGCTTGGAATAAAACATTTTCCTCAGTATTCGGGGCGGACACAACAGAGGAATTGAAAAAGAATTGAACACTTTATGCCTCGCATCGGCAACAAATTAAATAATTGCTGCAAAAAGTTTGCCATCTGCAAATATTTCAGCAAATAAACCATTGCTTTTCTCTCGAAGCTTTTACGGTATTGTTCGAATTTCTGACCAAACGTTGGCTTTTTGTTAATTTAGAAGGGATTTTCCATTCGTCAGTTTTAGTTTGAGCCCCTTGCTCACGCCCGACATTAGTCAAATATTTTGTTTGCCAAATTGTTTAACTTTTGACCCGAGTCCTCAGCTTTCCTTCACTGGGCCTCGGTAATTATACCCTAATTGGGCAATTGTAACCATTTCAGACGCTTTTTCCGGGGTGGGATGTCCGCTACTCGCGTTTTTGGCCGTGTTTTGCCGCGGGCCCAATGCCAACACCTTTTTGATGTCTTTCCCGAAAGGCGAAAGGCGGCGTCTCGGCGCTGAATCAAACTAATTAGGCGCAAACTTAATTAATATTTGACGAATTATTTGACCTTTCGTCTCATTACCATGATGGTTACGGAGAGCAGCAAGTGCGGGCAAATCGCTCCAGAGCTCAGCCCTAAGTGGCACTCGTCGTTTGCCTGACAACGGACAAAAAACATCAGACAACTGGCGGAGAAATGAAGATAACTTTTTAGGATTTTCCGAAATTGGGCTTCATTTGGCTGAGAGGCAAAGCATTTGATAAACTTGTCGCTAGGCAGGTGCCACCACAAAAAGGACATGCCCACTGCTGGAGGGGGCGTGGCAGGGTAGGGCGGACCGGCACGATTCAAATCATAAAACGGTAAGGTGAGACGAGGCGCAAAAGTTTTTCTAATGTTTATTGGCGAAACTTTTTCATTTTTTACAACTTTTACAAAAGTTTGCGCCGTAGATCTCCACCTCCCCCGATTGCATGTTGCCTAGGCCCGTCTTTGGTCATTTTAAAGTTTAAATTATACCAAGGGGGAGAGTCCAGGTCTGAGTGGTCTGGAATCCAGCGATTGTCAGCACATTAGGCCTACCAGGTTGGAGTGGCAAGCAAAAAGCGGGGAACGGGACAGGAAACCTTACTTTGAATTAAACTTTTATCGCATCAATTCCGAGAGTTTTTCCCGCGTTTCCCTGGCAAAGTTTCATTGTTGGAGAATTTCCAGATATTAATTCGTTTATTTAAATTCGCCCAAGTCGCCGAGATAATGCAAATAAGCGCGATTGTACTCACCCAAGTGGGGATAGGTGCCACTTACCTGTAAGAGAAAGAATATAAATGAAAATTACTAGGAAATTCATAGCCATAGCAACGATACCCGCTGCAAATAGAGCGAAGAAAGCCCCCAACAATTGGATCCGAGGGGATCCGGAGTTTTTCCTTTTCCAGTCACCAACCTCATTATTTAACAAACCCAGTAGCCCTTTGCCAACTTTAACCTAACTTTCTCTCAAATCAACTTATATTTTTCACTGCCGCATCATGATTTGCATGCCTGCCCTCAACTTATTTTTCTACAACTGCCTGTTGGCTTACATAGCCAGGGAAGTTCAACGCATCATCATAGGTAAGTAACGCATAGAATCATTTCACCAATTCTGAAACCTTTCTTTTAGTTCCGGCGACGAGTGTGAGTCGTTGGAACTGGTTGCCTATTGTTGGCCGGTTCATTGCTCCCCAGCAAGCGAAAAACCAAATTGAAGGCTTCCCCCTTCAGGAGCTCGGCGATATCCTGTGGAATGTGAACTTATATGTGAACTGTTTGCTGCTTCTGCCAGCCCTCTTCCAGGTGGGCCCACATCTAAACATTGTTTTCTTTTGAATCTATATGTTAACCTCCCACCAGCTCCATCATTTCAGCCTGCTGGTGGCCCTGATTCTCATGTGGAACTTCTACGTCTTCCAGCGGCTGTTCGTCTTCTTCCTGAGGCTTGTGGCCAACTTGTGGGGGAGCGATCTCCGCTGGAGCTACTACGGTCCTCTGGTCGTTTTCGGAGCTCTAATGAGCACGCTGCACTTGGGTCTGATCATCGGAACCATGAAGTTGCAGACCAAGCATCCCGAAGAGCCAGAGCCTCAGCCCGATTCCTTGCCTCAGCAGGTGTTCCTTCAAGAGCCGCAGCTCTTCAGGGAGGATGCTTCAGAGAACATTGGCGACGGACCACGACGCTAGACCCGGAAAAACCCTAAACCTTAAACTGAGCTCAGCTCAGCCGCCTTTAACTGGGCCGCCATCAGTCAGGAGCTTAACCTTGCCGCATCTACAAATACTGGGTCGGTGGTTCAACTAATAAATATGCCAGAAAACAGCAGACACACGGACGCAAGGACACCCGGCACGCACACACCCGCACACCAGGACATGTACAAATGAATCGCAGCTGAGGGCTGGCCGGCCGAGCATCGGGAAATAAAACCATTAAATATTTGCGGTTAAACGCACCAAAAACAAACCGCAAAAGTAAATCATATCCAGAGCAGACATCGGACATGGCCAAGCATCCAAGGCAAGGAATTTCCTTGCGCCACCCTCCGCCGCCCGGCACTCTTGAGCAAAAATATTAGATTAGAAATTAGGAAAGCCATGGACATGGACTCGGATTGGTTATGGGATTGGGCAGGCAGCAGACCAGAACGCCATTACTTGGGGATGGGATGCCGAGCAGGAAACTGGTTACCAACGGGCTGCCAAAAATTCCAAATGGTCCATGGCCAAGGAGCATAAATCATTGAAACTGACGTTTCGCCATTTCACTGGATTTGTATATATGCTAAAGGTTCGGCCACTTCGGGGTAAAAAGTGCTATGGTGGCCGAGGGAATTTGCGTAAGATATCCTTCGATTTTCTCAAGGAGACACGCGCCCGCAATGCCAGAAACTGGGTCCCATGGTGCGCTCTATTAGTTCCCTGAACTAGTTCCCCGATGATTGAAGCAGACCAGGACTATTTTGTCCCGGACGACCGAAAAACTCACATAAATCACTTGGCTATTGAATGCGAGCTACGCAGGGGTCGCTGGGATGTCGTCAGGCCAAAGTCAAGGGCCTCGTATTGCAAACATGACAACTGATGTTTGCATCAGTTTAGCATTTTCTTTGCGTATTGGACTCAGACCGAAACAATTTAAAAGGTTAACGGGACTACTTAACGGTTGAAGAACTTGTAAAAAGTATTTCCAAGTTTAGTTTTATTTCCACCATAGAATACTTGGCTTTCAGATGTGTTTTTAAAAGCCAAGAAATTTATGAAGAACAAGAAAAGAAGCTAGCTTGGGCAATACTATGCTTTGCGTAGAAACGAACAGACGGACAAGCGGACAGACGGACAGATGGACAGACGGACAGACGGACAGACGGTCAGATGGACAGACGGACAGACGTACAGACGAATTTGGATTCAGATCGTAAAGCTGATCAAGAATACATATACTTTATGGGGTCTGAGATGTCTCCTTCACTGCGTTACAAACTTCTGACTGAAATTATAATACCCTTTGCTCTGCAAGGGTTTACAAATAAGTCTCTAGAACATCATCTTGGCATAAGCTAAAGGAATTTTACTTTTTAGTTGTTTGTAGTTATATGTTTCAATTTCAAAAAGGTTTTAATGAAAATATTTAATTTAATCGTAGAAATGGACTTACTGACAAGTCTATTTCAACTGGACTGGTGATTAAACCTTAATCCAAACTTGAACTTGACAAAAATGCTGACTATAAACTCATATAACAATTTCTAGAAGATAACAAACTACGGTTTGCATGACACTTGACTAAGATACGTTGGCTCCCATTCGAGCATCCACACATGGCCCAACTGGATCTGGATTGCATCGTCCTGGCTGCCTCCCACTCAGGATGTGTGGCACACGTTCTGCTGATTTGACACTTCAATATAAATGACACAACCGCATTTGGTAGCTTGGGAAAAGCTGGAAGCCCTCAGAGCGATTGCCATTTTTGACATATGAAGTTTTAATTTATGAAGTTGATGGTGAAAAACACTTTGTGCCCCTGGAGGTGACCTGCGTTTCCGTTTCCGCTTCCGCTTCCGAGTCCGATGTGGTATCGCTGACCCAGAATCTTACGAGTGGCGCCACAAACTGGGCCACACCCACACACACAAAGGCTGCTCGTGGCAGGAGCAGCAACAAACAACAAGGGATAAAAAATTTTGATTAATGTTTAGTTCCGATTTGCATAAATCTTGCTTTAGCATTTGGGCTTTCTCCCGCTTCTGTCCCGCTTTCACAGCCCCTTTCTCTGGGCGCCTTTGTTATAAATTATTTTTTTATTGCAGCCTCCCGAAACTCAGGTCCTGCTCGAGCGCCGTATGCTCCCCGGTTAAATTGTTCGGCTCGGCGTTATTTATTTGTTTGTTTGTGCCGGTCATCAGGAGAGGAGGGGCCGTGTCCAGGTGGACCGAACCAGGTCAAGGCGGTGCATCTGCCGGAGAGCTGCACGCTCCCACAGTCTTCGCCGTAACTTTTCGATTAGCTTTGCCAACTCATTTAACAAATGGTCTGGCTGACAGTAAGAAATATAACAAATTTACCCCAGCAATAGCGGCGGCGGGCGAGGAGCTGGTCGTTTTCATTGCAACACCTTGGAATCATAAATTGTGACCCGACCATTCGCCCAGTTGCAGCTGCACCAGGAGGCGGCGGGCGGAAAAGTTTTGCTCATCCCGAAGTTTGGCTGTAAGTTAAAGCACCCGCGGGTAATTCGATAAAGCGTAAAATTTTGCACTTAAACTATTTTCATCTCCAGCTGCACGACTCCCTCTGCCGGCAAGTCCTGCTCCTCGGAGTTGGCATTTGGCAATTGCATTGTTGCTCCTATTATTGTTCTCCGGTTTTTCGGTTGCTGGCAGCCCGAGCGGAGAGTCTTGAATTACAATACGGGGCGGGGAAAGTGCGGAAAAGTTTCCCTGATTGCGTGTCCAAGTGGCTGGACGGCCCCACAGCATTGCTCCTTTGCCATCGCTCCTTTTCTGATTGAGTGCTCTCGAGTGCGAAACGGCACAGGAATTGTTTTGGCATTGCAGTTGAGACGTTGGCGAGTTAATCGGAGGCGCCGCGCAAGGTGGATCGAGTGGGATTGCATGGTGGAGCACAATGGGGCCCCTGAGCCACACCTCGATCACACAAGTCCGCACAAATTGTTTGCGAAATTGTGCAATCAGCACAAGAACAAAAGCCCGCCTGCTGCCGCCCCAATAGACTAAAGTAAATTAAAAATCTCATTTAAATTAATCCTCATTGAGGACCCTTGCGACCGTTCCACTCCCCTCTCCACCCGCTGATAGCCATCCCACTGGGACGGCGGGCTGTTGTCGTTCTCATCAACGCATTACAAACAATTCCACTTTAGGCACGAAGCCACAGCAGCTTGTGGTTGCAGGGAGGGCGATGGCGTGGCAGACATATACCTTCGATACGGAGGAGAAGCTTAAGTCTGTTTAGCAATTTAGAATTTTTAAATCCCATTAAATTTTGCAATCACAGTTTGATTTGTTTGTCCAGCCAGGACGGAGGCTTGGACAGGTGAAGGGAAGCCCGGGAACCAGAGAGCCGGAGAGCCAGAGAGCCGGACATGGACACGTTCCACGAGGAGCCCGAGTCAAAGGGCTTTCAATGATTCAATAGTTTAATTTCGAATTTCCATGCAAATAAACAAATATCCATTAGAGACGGAGACCGAAGCACAGACCAGCGGCAAACAGGAATGGCTTTCTATTTAGTTTAGTTATTAAATGTATCCATTTCCATTTACCAAATTACGCCGCAATTGTTGTTCGCCTGTCTATCTGTTTGTCAGTCAGCCCTGTTTGCGATTCCCATTGTCGAACTGTGTTTGAGTTGCCTTCGCATCTGCTCAGATCCCAGATCAGAACTTTATCTGCATCTGTGGCTGCATCTGCCTTTGTATCCGCATCTCCATCTGCCGTGCACGCTGCATGTGTAATTACGTAAAAGTTGATAATGTGTTGATTATTTGAGGTATTTATGTAATTCTCGAGTTCCTTCTGCGCTCTCGTTGCCATGTTTAATTGCAATTATTTAATTACATTTGCAGCTTTAACTTTGGCATGTGTCTATTGAGTTTTGCGGTCAGCTTTCATTCTTCATCTCACAAAAAACAAAAATCAAGCACATTTCAAAGGAACGCAGGCATTTCCGTTTGTGCTTATTACAAGGAAGGTCTCTTTGTCTCTCTGCTTGGATGCAGGCACTTGGCGATAATTTTATATCTCCATCCAATTACTGGAGTAATTTAAATTAAAATTGATTATCGATTTTGATCGGCATTAATTGATTACTTTCAGCCATTCAGGGCTGGCTTTCTTTCATTCGGTCTGTAGCCTTTGTAATGCACTGAAACCACTAATGCTTAGAGTTTTCTCTTCAAACATACAGCGACTCCGCTTAAATATGTGTGTCGCAATTTAATTTCATAAAAGCAATTGTACTTTTGACCCTGCCACTCGTTCCACGACTCGTGCCCCTCGGCAAACTTTGCTCGCATTCACGACGGCCAGGAGGAATGTAGCAAGGACTCAGCAAGCGGCGGGTCAAAGGACAGCGGTGACTGCGTGACTGGGCCTTTAAAAGAGCAAACCACTACCACCCTCAACTAAAAAATACCCAAAATTAAAGAAATTATTTAGTGTAAGCAAATCTGGCTTCCTTATGACTAGAACTACGTTTTTTATATTCGATTGAGATTTCCGTTTCCTTCTAGGTAACTCTATTACTTATGGTCGCAATCAATCAAGAGATAAAACGAGAGCGGTATATCAAGGAAACTTTATTGAATTATATCCTTGTATCATAAAATGACCATACATATAAATGGTGACATTGTATTTCAGCTGAAAAGATAAAGTTCCTATTCCCTATTCTTAAATAAACGCAACTCTATTCTTCAACTAATTTTTAAAAACCGTAAATTATTATTGTCAACTTTTTATAAATTCTGTAAAATAGTCTGTAATGTACCTCTATCTATATACCTAGAAGGATAGATTAAATAGTTTTAAATAAGTGACCACAGTTAAGAGCTTAGACTTGAGCGGAAAGAACTTACTCCGGGCGGAGGAGACTGGTCCTGCATCACGATCCCATCTCTGTGCCGCCATAGCGTATTTGTTTTTTAATGCCAACATCAAGGGCCACCGCTGCCGCCAACAGACGGGGCAAACAGGGACGGCGGACAAGGACGAGGCGCAGTATCCTGCGGAATGGAGACAGGAGACAGATGGGGAAGTATTTTCATTGTCTTGTTTGCCAACGTCGAGAGTCGCATATTTGACATTGGACTTGTGTGCGCTCTGATAGCGTGCCAGCCAAAACATCACAAATGGTTGGCAACTCTGGCGAGCCGGCCGGCAAACACACACACACGGATCCAGTTGTGTCACATAATTGCGAGTGTTTACTGTGTGCGTGTGC